CTGTACAGTCTGGACATACTGTACGGTGTACAAATATGCAAATGAGATATGCTAGATTGTACTATGTGTCAAATATTCATATTTCATGCTACTGTTACCAAATTTGAACTGGTAATAGTTGAGAATTAATATTTTAGCCCAGTAAAATTTGTTTGATAATATCTCATTCCCTTCTTATTCTGTGATACTTTATTAATAAAAAATAGAAATTTAGGGAGAGAAATATCTTGATTTTTGTGTATTTTAGTTCAATATACTAAATACAGTTACAAAGAATATGACTGCTGAAGTTAAAAATTCAGATTATTAGCTTTAAAAAGAGACCAAGCTTGTGAATTTACTCTAAAGGGTTCAAAAGCAGTACTTCATTTAATTTGTGTACTTTTTAAGGTGTTTTATGGTATTTTATGCCCAAAGGTTAACAGGATAAAAGCCTGGTGCATGTAAACACTCGTCATCATCGGGTTGTGTCCATGTAAACGATACATTCAGATTATTTAATCTGAATACATTTCAATCCGATCAAAGAATTTCTCTCATCTAAACATAGCTAGTGACTGAACTGTTACAGGACTGCACATCTCCCACTACCGTTTGTGTTTCATCATCACTTTATTTTTACAGCACAGTTTCTTGGCATCAAAATTAGATTTAGAACTTCTTCACTTTTTGAACAACATATTACTCCACCTGCAGGCAGTAGTCGTTTCTTTTCTTTTTAAGCCTATAAGGGTCTCTCCCTCCAATCAAGAGACGTTTCTTATATCTGACTCTACTTTCCAGTCAATCATTCTGTAAAGCCACAGCTACTAGTTCCATTTCAACCTCTTGCTGATGGTCTTGTAGCTTCTTCCAGTCTTCTGTAGATCTGTTATCTAGTCCCAACATCTTTAGTCTCATCCATAGTGGTGGAGAGGATGGAATGAAAGAAATRAATTGTGTGTTAAGATGGACTTTCTACACAGCACTAGTTGAAGTTAGGAGTGTAGGAGGAGCCTGTAATTGACTGAATATTTGATGTAATGTGTTCTGAGTATTTGGCACTTCAGCTACTAAATGAAGAAGATGAACTTACTCGTCTCTCCTGAGCACTTTGCCAAAGATCTCACACTTCATTGCATTAATATCAACCGAGTCSTCCTGCAACATGAAGACAAAACAATAACAAAACAATCCAAGCAGAGTTTAAAGAGCCATTCAGTGGTCTGACAAGACAAACAGGAAGTCACCTCATCTATGTACTCCAGCAGGTCTAGAGCCTTTTTGAAGTCGTACTCATTGGCTCGCCTGTTGTCATCACAGATATACAGCTGGAGAGAAGGAAACACTTTATATACGTCTTTCATTTCCATCAACAACATCCCAGTTTAAGCTGGGRCTATTTTACAAATGGACTCAAACAGGACACAGGTGGACAGTGACACCTGAAACTTTTAGTTTGGCTGTTCAGTAACCGCTCGAGAGTCTATCTGCACCAACGTGTACAAGTTTGAGCCGTTTCTCTGAAGGTGTTTGTGTGGTTTTGCACCTGTATGAGGCTGTGTGCACTGAGAAGGGGCATGGAGTCAGGGTTCTGCTGTTTCTCCTCCAGCAGCTGTCTGGGCAGAGTCTCCTGATGCAGCAGGAAGCGCTCCTGCTCCACAATGTCTGGACCAGACAAAACAACAAAACAGAAAAGCATCAAGTAATTTGTCACCCAAAACTTTTGGTATGAAAAGTGTCAAATTAAAAAATGTGAAAAATTCACAAGGTTACTGTGTTAGGTGGAGCCAGCTAAACTAGACAGTCGATTTAAACCAGTGGTTCTTAACCTTTTTGACCTCGGGGCCCAATTTGTTGACCATAAAGTGACACGAGGCCCAGTCAGACATTACTAATGTATGGATCAAAATGATAATTATTATAAATCTTGGTTTAATTTTTATTTACATCATAACTAAACTAT